CGGATAGGGGATGCGCTGGTTAGTATTAATCGCCATCCCTGAAGGACGAAGAGACTTTTTTTATTATTTATGTTTTACTTTCTCTACTGGACTCACACACCAACCAGGGATGAACCAAGGCAGCTATGACACTCGCGAAGTTTTCGGTTCTTTCTTGCAGTGCTCGCGATATTAAAAACGTAAAACGTACAAGTAAAACGAGGAAAACGAAACAAGCCAGTAACAGTACGACAAGTCGGGTCACCTCGCTGGTTCCTTCTCCTTGCCCCAGCCATTATCTACAAACTTCCCTGTACCAATAAAGTTAAGAAATCATAACACCATTCCCCCCGAAGGTCCTGATTATTTATTAAAATTTTCTTGCAACGGATCCTGGATTGGCTGAGTCATACCCTGCCTAAGGAAACTCGTTACAATATATATATAAATAAAGCATATATATATCTGCTTTTCTTTCTTTTTTTAACTTTATTGAATATGTTTAGTTACTACAATATAAATTTACAAAATACAATAATAATACAAATATGCTAGGAACAATAACAGCATAACCATTCAAGTCCAGTGACTTTTTACCTTATTTCAAAATACGATGAAACGATCCCACCAATTTAAACCTTTTTAGTAAAGATGCTGATTGGTTGTGATGGTTGGCCCCTTGTTCTGTATAGATTTTATATCCTCTTCTATGCTGCCTCCACCTACTATAAGTTTTTGACGTAAATGCTAAATGTAAGACTTGCAATACCTCCGAGATTTGTAAAGCCAATTCTCTTGTGGGTGAGATAATTATAGCGCCAATTTCTTTAGGAGTCCACAGTGACTAATTAGGCCTGCGACTTCATTTCCAATAAAGGCACTTAAAAGGCTAATGTTTTTCTGAGCCAGTCACAGCCTCCGCAGAAACATCTTTGCATGACATAAGTAACGGTACAGCAGAAGCCTTTGATTAGAATTATAAAAATTTCCTTTAATATCGCAATGAATTTAGAGTATGTATTAAGGTTACCTGAACAGGTGTCATTAATTCAAAACCCATACTTTCAACAACGCCTAATACGGGCCTAGATAACGGTGGCTTTTGCAATGAGCTCCACTTCTTACGTGACATTAACAACTTAATAGCCAAAAAAAACTTAATATTTACTATTTTTTATTTTGTAAAGAAATTATCCACGTGTTTGCAAATTCTTTTTTTACACTTTTTCTTAATATTTTCTATATTATTTTAATTACTAGGGCGCAGGATGATAGCACCCTGAAAATCTTCTCGATATTACAAAATAAAACAATATTTAATAAGTAAAAATGCTTTGAATAATCTCTTTTTTTGTCAGTCAGCTTTTCTCTTCCGAGCGAACATTACAT